AATTAATCTGTATCAAATAATTTCATGTGATCATTTTGAATTATATGTGTTAATTGCTTTAGAAAGCAGGGAAACTAAGACAAGCAGGTTTATGGAACAAATTATCTGGACAAGTGAGACCTCAGGTTGCTATCTATAATTTGACCCTGGTCTCATTTCTACAACATTCTCTTTTTTTATGTATGGCATGACTACCTTTGTATAAGTCATCCAACCAACATGGAACGTTCATTTCTACAACCCCCACTTCCTTTCAGAATAAAGTTTTGACTAAAAACAGAGAATAAAAAAGTTCTTAAAATGACATCAGAATGAAGTCACAATTTTTTTCCATTCAGGGAAAATACAAGGCATGAGACCACAGTCTATGATGTTGTCATTTATCACAGCAAGTGTCTGAGTGCTCCAAGATACAGGAAAAAAAAAAGCAACACCAGCAACAACAACAAAAAAGTTTCTATAAAGTCTTTTCCCTGCATATTACTGTTATTTTTTCTTAAGTATTTTATTTATTATTTTTACTTTATGTGTATGAGTGTATTGTTTGCATGTATGTAGGTGCACACATGTCATACAATGCCTGCAGAATTCAGAAGAGGGTGTTGAACCCCTGGAACTGGAGTTAGGATGGTTGTTAGCTGCCATATGGGTTCTGGGAATCAAAAAGTAACCAGTGCTCTGAACTGCTGTGCCATCTACCAGTTCCACATATTACTACCCTTATCAGAAATGTAGAAAGGTGATTGACAATCAACCAACACCCTGTGCTATTCTTATAACTGGTTTGCTATAACTTATGTTGATTTAATCTATTAAAAGCCAGAACTCTCAAATATCAGCAGCACTTCTAGGGAACAGGAATTTGCATTTCCTTTGTGATTGGCTGCCTCGTTTTCCTCAAATAAACTCTTTGATCTTTTACAAGGTGTGCCTCAAGCTTTTAGATTGTATCAAATCACACCTTGTAAGTCACATTGTGCCTCATAAATATAAATATTATGTGTCAATTGTATAAAGAAAAATCTTTACATAATATCCAATATTTCCAAAGTTTTGAGAGTTGTAAGCTCTTTATAAGTTGTGATTCTTCCTGTCTTACTGTTTTGTTTTTCTTACTGTGTATTGTAAAGGCAAAAATTATTCTTCAGGCCTATTGCTAAGCATGCCATAACAAAATTCAACTGAATGGGGGCTTACACATCAGAATGTTTATTTCCTCACAGTTCTGGAGGTTAGCTTCAAGGATCAAGTTATGCACAGGTTTTATTTAGTTGAAGCATCTCTACTTGCTAAATAGTTGCCTCCCTCTCACTGTGCCCCCACCAGAACTTCCTCTGTGCATAAGCATTCTTGTCTGAGTTCACACTCCCTATAAAGATATCAGAGAAATTAGATTAAGGGTCTAGAGAGATGGCTCAGCAGTTAAGAACACTGGTTGTTCTTGCAGAAGACCCAGGTTCAAATCCCAGTACCCACATGGCAACTAACAACTGTCTGTAACACCAGTTCCAGGGGATCCAAAAGCCTCTTCTATCCTCTGCAGACATTACATGACACAAGTGCACTTATCTACATGCAGGCAATACATGCATACACATTAAAAAAGGATAAATAAAATTTTTAAAAAATTAGATTAGGGTCTGTCCTAATAGCTTCATTTTAAAATAATTCCCACATTAATGGTACTGTATCTAAACACTGTTAAATTATTACAAGAGACTAGCCGAATTAGGCCTGTGACAACCATTACTAACAAAGCAAAGATAATGTTTAATTATATTGAAACATCAATATGATTATTTATTAGGAATAGCATTCTATTTTGCATCACAAAGAGAGAAAATAAGAGTTAACCATTTATTGGCATGGTAGTCACTTATAATTAATTAAATGGATTTAATTGAAGCATTCTTATAAGATTGTAGATACTGCACTATAACACAGAATTCAACAGTTAATCCTCCCTTTATGTATGTAGCTTTGAAAACGGGAGGCATTTTTTTCTCTCTTTTTTTAAATTTTATGTGCATGAGTGTCTTGTTTGCATGTATATAAGTGTATCTGTATCATGCAGTGCCTGCTGGTGTTAGAAAAGAATGTTGAATCCCTTGGAACTAGAATTATGGATGGTTGTTAGCCACCATGTGGGAACAACCCAGTCCGTCTGCAAGAGCAGCCACTGCTCTTTATCATTGAGCCATCTCTCCAGCCCAATATGTCATTCTTTTAATATGTTTTATTCTTTGAAAGTTTAATGCATTTATACAATGTATAGTGATTTATTTACCCGCCATTACCTCTTTCTATATCCCCCTAGTACCCCCATTTTGTCTACTTTCCAACTTTATGTTCTTTTTCTTAAGAGTTTATTATTAAACCTGAGTTCAGTTAGTGCTGCTCATATGCCCATGAGTGTGTGATCATCCACTGGGATATGAGTCAACTACCAGTGGCTATATCCCCAAAGAAACAACCATCAACTGTGAATAACCTTTATTTCATGCATATTCCAGGAACCAATCTGACACAACTTCATCACTTTTGTATATCTTTCTTTCCTAGAACCTATAAAGCAGTTCACTACTATTCTACAACAAGTAAGCAAATAAATAGTATCCTGCCAATGAAATGTATTTCCTTAATTATTTGAAAATTTACAACCATTACTCTTTCCTCCATATCCTTCTGTGTGCTATATTACACTTATAATTGTATTTGTATAGTTACAAGTATATGAACCATGAAACTAGTTCATAGATATTAAATATTGTACTTACACATGCATAAATAATCTTCAGTGGCAATGAACAAGTTAACTCCATATGTTGTCATCAGATTCCCTGACTCAATTGCAGTAACAACTTCAATAGCTATAATGAAGTGTACACAGATAATGGCCACTACATCAGAACTGCCAACAGGCCAACAGCAATGGTGAGAAGTGATTGAGTGTGAGGTAGAGGCTGATTTTACAGGAAAATAAAGCTGCACCTTAAAATCTGTCCATTACAATTAGTAGAAGATGAAAACAAGATAGCACATCATTTCATCTGCACAATAGTATCTTTAGTTTAGAAACTAACAACATGGACTAAAATAATGCAGAATTGATAACCACAGGAACACATGCTTAAAATTTCAGTGATTTTTCTGTTTGGACATTTGCACAAGGTGATACGACAATATCTAAGAACCTTTCATCTTGCCCTTTTGCTTGCTTGCTTCACTTATGACTGTATAACCTATGACTGCTCTTCATTCAAGCAAGCAAATACTAGCCAAAAACACCACTCCTCATGCAGAGAATGGCAGCTTTGCATTATTTAAGTTATGTTCCTTAATAGATTTGACCTCATAGTGCCAGCAGAACGCTGAATATATCTGGATGGCTTATATAAAATAAATGCATATAGGGGTTCAAAATACAAAAGAAATCTCAGTCTTTTATGTGATTAATATGATAAGAATTTGTATTGTGTTTACATAGCATCCACTCTTTCCCTTATGAGGCCTTAATATATAGGTCCATTTATAGTTCTTTCTTATGGACCATAGAAATCTTCAAATTTTTCAATAAGCCACACAAATCAGACCTTTTACACTGTATCTACCCCAGTGATGCCTTTCAGCATCTCTCGCACCAATGTTGGTATTGCCTGAAAAACTTTGAGCCATCCATGAATTCCCTTCATGGAATTCCCTCCCGGTGGCTATCACACCCTCTTCAGTGATTCTTCAGCTCACAAACCACCTCCTTGGTAAAGTCAATCCTGACTACCCATTCTAAAGAAATCATGAATTCTAAACATCAACATCTTATACAAAGACTTGGAATAGGATTTTTCTGATATATTCATATATATTCATTATACATATAATGTTTGTTAATTTGCTTATCTATTTCCTTTCTAACTGGCTACACCTCATTTCCATCTTAGCACAGGTAATTAGCATTTAGACCAGCACAGATTTCTTGATCTTCAGTAGCATTTTATCTTTTTACATTTAAGAACAGCTTCAATATTTTGATATATCTAATAAGACATATTATTAGTTTATATTGGCTTGTTAATAAAGTAAATGATTTTTACCATATAAAATTTTGAATCAAATGGAATGAAACAATAATAAATATTTAACTGCCAAGTAATTAACATTATAAAATTTATTTTAGGTAAGAACAAAAGTTCCTCCAGAGAGATCTGGTTAACGTTTATCCTTAGACTTCTTCCCAATGATGACATAGCATGTTATCATACCCACATACCTACAAGCACAGGTTCCCTTTATATCTACATCCACAAATGGCTCTTTCAGTTAATGTCCTTAGAAATTATAATAAGACAATATCTGACCTCCCTTTGCCATATCCCCCTCGAAACTCAAATAAGAAGAGAAATGAGTAAAGAGCACATTTCTCCTGCTCCTGTCCAAAGGAAAATATCTCCCCAAATAGAAGCCTGTTCCACAGAGGTTTATTAAATGAACTAGCAAATGACTAACTCCGAGACCACCCAATCAAAGTACATATAGCACAGCTACAAAAAGAATTCTGGATTATGAGTTAAAAAATTTCACATCCCTTACCATGTCTGGATTTATTATGTCAGAACTTTTCTACTTTAATTCACGTAAACCAGGTAGGGTGCCTGATTATAATCCCAGCACTCAGGAGGCTGAGACAAAAATAAAATGAGCCTGAGATTAGTCTGGGTTACTAGGGAGACAAAACCAAACACATAAAAAATAAAACTTGTCATATCTAAACGTAAACTAGAGAATTAACAGCTGAAGTACTCATTCTGCTCTCTAAAAGTATGAAGGACAGATCCAACTCTCCTGTATAGTGCTTTGACTTCTGAAATAATTTGCACAATTAACTTAATTTTCAGTTGTCAAATCATTAGAATTCCCTCTTGACTTCCTATAGTTCTCTCCACAGCTTTCTAAAGTGCACACACGAATCAAGATTTTACATCTTTAGGAAAAGCAGCTTCTATTTAGGTAAGCACCCTTTTCTTCAAAGTCTTACTCAGTGCAATGTGGACATCCTTATTCCTCAAACTGTAGATGAAGGGATTCAACATTGGTCCCACAATGGTGTAAAAAACAGTGGACACTTTATCTTCATCCATAGATCCAGTAGGAGAAGGCTTAAGATACATGAATGCTGAGGCTCCAAAGAAAATAGAAACTGCTATTAAGTGAGAGGTACAGGTACTGAAGGCCTTGGACCTGCTCTCTGTTGAACGAATCTGGGAAATACTAGAGATGATCAAAGTATAAGAAGTGAAGATGACCAAACTGGGCCCTATCACATTCACACCCACAACAATGAAAACCACCAGCTCGTTGATGGAGGTGCTTGTGCAGGAGAGCTTCAGGAGAGGCGGTATGTCACACATATAGTGATTGATGATGTTGCCATCACAGAAGGTGAGTCTCAGCATGCAAATAGTGTGTGCCAATGCACCCACAAACCCCATTGCATACACACTCACTGTCATCAAGAGACAGACTTGAGGGGACATAATAACCTTGTAAAGCAGAGGTTTACAGATGGCTACATAGCGGTCGTAGGCCATTGCTGTCAAAATACAACATTCATTAATAACAAAGAAGGCAAAGAAAAAGAGCTGAGTCATGCACTCAGCATGTGAGATGAGGTTCTGTGTCACAAAGCTCATCAGCATTTTGGGGGTTATGACAGAGGAATAGCAGAGATCGATGAAGGAAAGGTTGAAGAGAAAGTAGTACATAGGAGTGTGCAAGTGAGGATTCAAAACAATCAGGACAATCAAGCCCAGGTTCCCCAGCATAGAGACCACATAGACTCCCAGGAAGAGGAAGAAGAGAGGCAGCTGGAGCTCTGGCTGCTGTGTTAAGCCCAGCAGGATAAACTCCTTCACAGTGGAGTCATTGTCTGAGGCCATTCTTCTTCAGGTCATCTTTGTGAGAATGGAAGAAACAGAAACATTAAGAGATCCCAACACTCTGCCATCCACTCACTATAATAAGATTAAGAGCCAGAATGGAAAGTTGAACTCTTTTTTTATATTGTGAGACTAAGGAAATGTGTAAAGATTAAGATGGGGGCAGAGAGATGGTTCAGGGGGTGAAAGATGCTTGCCACCAAACCTGATAACCTGAGTTCAATCCCTGTTATACACATGATAGAAGGATGTAACCAAATTCTGCAAGTTGTTCCTTGACCTCCACATGTTCACAGTGGGACACACACACACACACACACACACACACACACACACACACAATAAATAAATGAAATGTTTAAAAGTATTATCTTAACATATTTTAAAAGGTGAATATTAAACATATGTGAAGGAAATTTCTGTGAGGATAAGATGCACACTGCTAATGACTACTCTAAGCCCTGCAATATGTCTGCTTTATTTCCACCTTTTTAACCTACTTCCACCTCGGACTCAGTAGTGATCTTGAATGAGAGTAGATGAGGCACATCAAGGACTCACTGGCACCCTTTGACGAAGTTCCAAAGAAGAACAGTACGTAAATTTCAACATTCACCTTCATGCTTGGAGACTTCAGGAAAGGACATTTTCAATTCTTCTTCCTCTTTCAACTGATCTGATGAGGGTTGCAAACAGCTCTGAAGAACTTTAAAGGCAAACAACGTAGAAAGAGGCCCCTTTTCTGTTGCTACTGTTTTTGTTTGGAATGAATTCTGGACTTACAGAATCTCTCTAATACTCTGATAAGTCATGAGTTATGGATTATGATTACTAGGGTTGCTTTGCCCAAGGGGTCCTTTCCAGGCTTAGGAGAGATAAATAGCATCTACTGATGACAAAAGAGATGACCCAAGAGATTTTTATGGGTTTGTAAATCCTAGGGACCTGATTAAAAATGCTTCCCCGGGGTTTTCCCTTGGGAAAATCTAAAGAGAATTTAGATTCTCTGCATTTATATACTAGCTTACAATAATGGCATTGACTTTTGGAATCATACTATTTTACATCTATTATAATTTCCTATCAAATGGGACATATTCCCAAACAGAAAAAAGAAAACTAGGAAACCAAGTGCGTATCCACAGTGAATTCTTCCTAGTACCTGTTATTTATCAGCTGAAAAAATACACATTCATTTACTGTATGCACCCTTAATACATGAATCTACACACACTTTAATTCAGCGCCAGACTGGAGGATTTCTATCCTTTTTCGTCAGTTCATCTTTGTGGCATTTAGAGCAATAATGGCATATACAGTAGATGTTTGTTATGTGTATGAGTGCCTTGCCTGCATGTATTTAAATGCACCCATATGTGTAATGCCCATGGATGCCAGAAGTTGGCACCAGATTCCTCTGGAACTAGAGTTAGAGACAGTTATCTGCCATGCAGGTGCTGGAAACTGAACCTAGAACCTCTAGAAGAGCAGTAAGTGCTCTTAAACACTGAGCGGTCTCTCCAGTCTGTAATAATAATTTGCTTCATGTTAGTTAGTAGAGGTGAAAAACATTACCATTGAAATCTACCTGATGATTTTATATCCATGGTCAGGTACCAAGGATCTCAGAAAGTAACTGAGTGTGACTAGTAATAATCAGATACTTAGAGAGTAGAGACACATGTGCAAACATCTAAGTGTTAGTAGCATTAAAAAATCAGAGTTTCTGTAAGAAACAGCATATTTTAGAAAGAAATGGAGATTTTTTTTAAAGGTTAAAACCTTATTCAATTTTAAGTCTTATAGGGTTTATACTGAGTTCAATGTTGTGTAACTATATTAATTCAGTTCTGAACCTAAAAATTTGCAGCCAATTTTGAAAGAGATGCATCTTTGTTCTGGAAGTTGTTATTGGATATGTTATGAAAATTTTGCTTCAGAACAGGCTTATAAAATCCAGTATTTTGATTTGTACAAGAAGGTGTGACAAGGGAACCATCAGCAAAATATATAAAAGCCACTGTTGAACTCTCACACACCACCAAAAGGAATCTCGGATCAAACTTACTGAGTTCAGAGAAGGACTGTACAGTCACTGCAAAAGTTCATCCCTGTACTTGCACAGTATTTGAGAGGTCCCAATTTTTCTCCTCCAAAGTCTTCAGCACAGAAACAAGTCAGAAGCAGGGTTAAAACCATGCAGTATAGAGGAATTTGAAATGATAAGCATTGGTTTCCCACAAGAAGTTACTGGAAGCCATTTGAGCTTTCCTTTTTCCTGTATTGTGCAAGATTGAAATAATCACAATGTTGATTGATATATCCATTCCCCTCTCCTTCTCTCCTGATCTCCCTGGCCTCCCGTAATATATCTCTGATCTCCTTCCCTCCCAAGCCCATGTGACCCCTGAGGAACAGACCCTCAAAGGACCTTAAGAGTGAAAATAAATCAGTTTATCTGGACCAACTCTAAGGTCTTAAACACCCAAAAGGAAAGTATAACCAGAGATTAAAGGGGCCAAATTCATCCTCTTTTAAAGAAAAATCTACCACGGTGGTTTGAATGAGACATATGGCCCCAAGGCTTCTGTATTTGAGCACTTGCTTCCCTCATTGGTGGTGCTATTTGGGAGAAATTATGAAACCTTAAGGAAATGGAGCCTGGCTTGAGAAAGTACGTCACTGAGGGTGGGCTTTAAACTTTTATAGACTTATCTCTTATCTCCTTCCCTGCTCTTGTCTCTGCCTCTCTGTCTCTCTGTCTCTCTCTCTCTTTCTCTCTCTCTCTCTCTCTCTCCCCTTCCTGAACGTGGATGAAAATGTGATTAGCTAGCCTCCTACTGCTCCCACATGCTGAGTCTTTTCCAACATAATGAATTATATCTCTCTGGTACCTTACGATAAAGTAAAACCTCTCTTCCCTAATTTACTCTTGGTCATATTTTATCACAGAAACAGAAAAGTTATTATTATACCTACCAGATGCAAATAGTGGTGCTGGTGCCCAAATACACAGGTATGTAGGCCATCCACTGAAACATGGAAAACTGCCAACGGGTACTTCCTCCCAAAGGAAAGTGACTCTCCCTCCCTCAGAAGTCATCAGCTGTCACTGACTGCTCACCTGTGTGTAAGGAATCAGGAGCCCCTTCCTGCTCCATGCTGAAACTAACTTTCTTGATCTTGTGTTGGGCTTGTGCAGGTAACTAAATCCTCTGTGAGTTCATGTCATATCCAGAGGCCAACCTTTTACAGCACTCCTTCCCATCCTCCTCTTACATTCTCTCTGCAACCACTTCTATGATGTTCACTGGGTCTTTGTGAGAAGGGCTGATAAAGACATTCTATCTACAGCTAAGCAGTTACTGTTGCTTATTCTCAGAAGTTTGAACCTTTGAGTCTTTGCATTAATCATTCTATCCTCTGCAAAAAGCTTTTCTGATTAAGACTGAGACTAGCACAAATCTGTGAAAACATATATAAATATTTAGAAAGGAATTTGATAGCATGCCCATTTAGCAACACATTAACAGATAATTCCCTGTGGCCTATGGCTTATCTGACCATGAATTTTAACCATGTTTACAGTACCAGGCATGAATTCCCTTCTGTAGAGAGGGCATCAAATAAAATCAAGAGTGTTTAGTTACTCCTATAGGCAGTCCAGCCATGCTGAGCATAACTTGCCTAGCAGGTCATTATTGTGGGATGCAAGCTCTAGCACTGATGAGACCACTTTACAACACTATGAAAACTGGCCAGCAGGGAGAGAGTTTCCTGGTTACCTCAAGATTAATTTTTCTGTATCTTGTAGCCAAAGCGTGTGATCTCTTAAAAAACAGTCTTACCATCTAGTTATGATAGGCTGCCAAGAATTACAACAATAGCCTTATATTGTGTTCCATGCTTCTGAGGACTCTGTGACCTACTACTGAAACTTTCATTTAATAACTCATATCTTCCGAAAGTGACATTGTTCACCCACACCAGAGTAACTGTGTTCAAACTCCTTTTTACAACAATACTTGTGATTTAATTAGCTTATGTACTAGTTGAGTTTCATAAAAGTTCACACATTCTTTTTTTCTATGATATTATTGAATTTTTGTGTATTTCATGTGGAACATCCCACCCAATCTTAAGTAAGGACCTTTCTACTCTCTTCCCCACTGGTGCCCTCACATAGTCCCCTCATTGGAATTCACATATTCTGTCCTTTGTCTTAAGGCCAATAGTGTAGGTTTGTGTCCCAGAAATCCCTCAGTGCAAGTTCATCTCCCGAGATATAGTCAGCCTATCTAAAGTCTCTTGCTTTATGAAGATCAGCTCTTCTTCAGCTAGCAGTAATCAGTTTCCTATATTTCTTGACTAAGATTGGGATCAGATCTCCATTTCCTCAGTTCTAGGCTGGGTTTTCGTCCGCTTGATTTTGCATGGGTCTTGTGCATGCTGACACTATTGCTGTAGGTTGATATGAGCAGGGTCCCAGGAGCTTGTAGGATTCTATTTCCATATGGTCATGTACCTCCTCCCTGGCTTTTCCGATCATTCTGTCTTCTCTTTTTCTATGCTCACTGAGCCTTGGGTGGGTGTAGTTTAATATAGTAGTCCTGTACAAAGACTAGCATTCTGCAGACTCTTAGTCTCTACATGTGGGTCATTTGTGACATTTTGTGTTCCTAGCCCTCTATTGCATGAAGGGGCTCAATTAGTGAGAACTGAGATATTCATTGTTGTCTTCTTTACCCTTTATTCTATTATTTGCCAGCCTTAGGTGTGCAGGTTGCACTGTAGATACGTCACTTACTTGGGCAATTCACAAACAATGTCTGTGTGTGACCAGTTGTGGTATTTTGTAATAGTCTCCATCTGGTTCAAAAGAAACTTTTTGATGAGTGGTGACTGGGATATTTGCCCATGAATACAAGGAGATCTACTTTTCACATATGACAAAATTACATTATTCTAGGGATGTAACAGTTTTGGAGATTTCTCTAGGATCTATGACCTCTCAA